GTTCACAAAAAAAGTAACATTATTGCAAATTAGCTCTTGAATTTAAATGATTTGAATTGTAAAGCATACTAAAAATTTAGACTTAATTAATTTGAAACAAAAGAAAACTTACCGTTTCGAAGCAAAATCTAGCTGGGTAGAAATTTTGGTATTTTGTGATCGCAAATCTGTAACTTGTTCTTGAAGTTTCTCAAGCTGCTCATTTTGTATTTTTTCATTTTCTGCTTTTTCTTTTTTGTAGTTCTCAAAAATTTCCTGCAACTAAATATGGGAGATTATGAGAAGGTAACACTGTGTTCTCTAAAAAGCTAACCCAGGGCAAAGGTGTGATCTTTACCTGTTTAAGGGCAGCCTTAGCCTCTATAGCCTCTGTTGATTCAATAACAGGTACTGGAGCAGGAGTGGAAACAGTCTGTGATGTACTTGGACGTTTTGGAGTTGATGCAAGAGAAATATCATCTAAGCTTGAAGCTTCAGGAAAGTAAAAAGACTAATAAAATGCTTTGTTGGCGTTCACGGATCAGTTTTAATCTAACAATTCTTTGCAAATACACTACTACCAAATAAACAAGCTACACTTATTGAAATGAAATAATAAAATTATAGGAGTTTTTAAATAAGGAATCCACTAAACAATGTATTACGATTTTTTGATGATTATTAGAAATAACTCAGTATTTATGGGTTAAAACATAATCCACATTTATGTTTTATTAAAACATATTATCTGTTTTGGTCATCAAAACATAATCAAAATAAACACTGTAATTCATTGATTCTGAGATGCACCTTTTTCAACAACAGAAAGCATTTCTTCTTAGTAATACATAAAATAATGGTATGTTTTACAGTTGATGGAATGTTATAAGCAATCATATATGGTAGTCAAATTTGAAGCTACCATCATTAGAGTAGCTATTGCTTATGTTGCAAAAGTAATCCCTTAATGTACATTTCTAAATTATTCCTTTAAATAACTTTATAAAAACATACCATGTAATGGAATGGCAACTCCTGTTGTTTGGGACAATAAAATACGGTACATATCACGCTGACGAACTATGGAATCAACAAGCTGCATTTGATGCTGTCGTGATTTGCGGAGTTGTTCTAGTTCAGTGAGGGCACTCTCAAGTTTGAGCTGAAGCTCAGTGATTCTGTAGAAAAAGTCGGCCTATTTCACAGGACTGAACTGAGAGTTAGCTGATTTTAATTTCCACTGTAATTAACCAAGCATCTTTGCCTACCATTAAGCATACTATTTTCGTCTCTCTCATCCTTTTTTTGATGCTGAGTATTTTATGAACTACTTTTTAAATCCCTACCACACAGGACTCAGGTACTTATACTTACCAATGCAATCTGAAAAAATTTTTTTTAAAAATTAAATCAGTTCCACTCACTCCAAACTCTAGTCTTCTTGCTTTCTTAGCCATTCTTCCTCTTCTAGCATTATACATGTGTTTTGAAAAAATCTCTGATTAATTCTTATATAGGTTCTCCATGAAGCTGGTCTGCTCCCTGAAATCTAGGACAGGTCCTTCATCTCTATGCTCCCACAGATAGGTGCTAACCACATTGAATGGAAATTGTCTACTTGCCTATCGTATTATCTATTTATTATATCTGTCTCACCCATAACCTGAGGTCCTGGAGTAGAAATTTTTTGTTTGGTATTGTTGATCAATTCTTTCCTCTCTATATCACTATATCCCAAGTATCTAGCACTGTTAGGGACACATAGGATATTTTTTTGCTGGCAACGGGGTCTTACTCTGTCGACCCACTTAGAGTGCAGTGCATGACCATGCTTCACTGCAGCCTAAACCTCCTGGGCTCAAGTGATCCTCCCACCTCAGCCTGCCACCTGAATAGCTGGGACTATAGACATGTGCCACCACACGCAGCTAATTTTTTACTTTTTTTGGAGAGACAGGGTCTCACTATGTTGTCCAGGCTGGTCTCGACCTCCTGGGCTCAAATGATACCCCAATTCAGGCCTCCCAAAACATTGGGATTACAGGCATAAGACACTGAGCCTAGCTGAAGTTTTCATAAATGTTTGCTCAACAAGCTGAGGTATTCGACTGCTTACTTGGATGAAGTTGTTTCTTGTTCTTCTCTTTCTCTGGTTTCCCCAAGCTCTCTAAGGGCCACTAACAGACGTTGATTTTGTTGTTGAAGCTCTTCAATATTTCTGTAAGATACTAGATGCTGTGATATTACCTCAGATGAACTACTTATATCAGCAGAGCTTACTTCCTCATCACGAATTACGTGGTTACCCCTTGCTTCTTCAAGTTCCATCAAAAGCACTCTAATCTAAAAACAAAGTTTTAATATGTTATAAAATAGTATTAGTTTCAATTCTGGAAAAGTTTAGAATGAAAGTTTTCAAATTAAAACATTACTTATAAAACCTTCAACTTGTATTGCCTCAAATTATCTTTAAAAACAAAGCATCCTTAGATATTAAAATCTAAACAATCAAATTTGAATAGAATAAAGTTACTTTTAAGTATGTATTGAAGGATATTTATTAAAAAGTAGCCAAATTACAATTCCCAAAACATGGCTCCATTTCTGTAAAACAATGATCAAATAAAACTCACAGAGATATAAACATCTATTTTTTGTGCGTGTGCTTTTGTATATATAATAGGGAAGAGCATGAAAAATGGACATTTAAACAAAAAGCATATATATAATGCCATTCATGTGAAATTTTTACATTTGTGCGTTGTGTGGATGTACACACACACACACACAAATTAGGGTAAAATATATGAATGAGACGTTAAATTTATTGATTTGCTTGTTAAAAAAGTGTCAGAGCAATGCATACAGTCCGATTTTATTTCAGTAAAGTCAAATAATTCTTACATATGTTTATATATGCTCATGTATATACACATACAGAGAAGGATGTGAAAAAAATACACAACAGTCTGTTAGCTACACTTTGGGACTTCAGAGGGTAGAGGGGCAGAAATTGGAGAAAGCTTTTATTTACCTTTGAATTATTTATTCATTTATTACAACCAACACATATAATTTAAAAATTTATCAAACATTTGAAATAAGGGAGGGGCTATGAAAAGAAACAATAACGCTACAATTCTGCTTGAGTACTATTCCTAATTAATTAGAATTTCATATGTGGTAGTTCTATCTTAGATACCTTCAAACAGATTCAAAGATCAATGGGCAGTCAGGATTTTAAAAGTAAGAAAACAAACAAAACAAATTCTAACCTGTTGTGAAAGATCTTTTATTTGTATTTCCATTCTTTGATTATCTCTCTCCAGTACAGAGGACTGCTTGTTGGCTCTATCAGTGTCCTCCTGCAATCGCTGAATCTCCTTTAAAATGTAAATTCAAGTTAAAATTTTGTACTTCCTTCTAGGATTCATACAAATAATCAAGACATGTAATACTCAAATACCACCAGTAATCAACTTATACACTAAATAAAATTCTATACCATATTGTAGCCACTAAAAAAGAAGTTCTGTATAAATTTGAACACATTATTTTTTTATTCAGACAATAACAAGCTTCAGGTAAAACCCTCACTTTCAACAGAGAGAAAAATTCAAGGAAGATCTAATTGGACCCAAGGGCTCTCTTGCAAACTACACTGCTGGTAAAAAAAAAAAAAAAAAGGTCAATTATTCCCAGTCAGGCGGGACTGCTAGACTTCATTTGATGAAGAAGAAAAAAACCAGTTGATATAATAAAGTACTTGGCTTTAAGCTGACTTCTAAATTATAACAGCAACAGAGATTTAATTTTGAAATAGGGATATAATTTATTTACATTCTTTTCTAACAAAAGGAAAACAATTTATCAGTTTAGAAGAGTAGATATAAATTCATTTAACTGAATTTCCTCCATAAAACTTCTTAAAGAAATCTTTACATTTCCCTCAGTAGTTAATAGTTGTACCGTAAAGCAAAACATTCAGACTAATCAAAATGGCACTACTGTAACTTCTTATAACACATAATATAAAAGCTTTTGAAAAATATAGACACAACCCCTCAACAACACACTATCCGATTCTCAAAAGCAATGGCTATTTAACCAGATGTAAAGGGACAATAACATATCACAGAACTTTCACACACCTAAAGAGAGCATTCAGCAGCAAGCTAGTCAGACAAAACAAACACAAATATTTTCACATTTCCCATGTTTGTTTTTAACTTTACTTCATAAAGCCACTGACAATTGAGGCTTCTTTCAAGTATAAGATTTCTAAAATTAAAAACTGTTTTTGACATATTTTTATAAAGAAATAAAAAGCAAACACAATCCAACTGCATTTATATGAGTCCCTCTTCTCCAACAGCTTTAGATGTTTTTCTGAATACTTTTTATACAAAATAAAGTATTTTTATTAAAATCAGTTCTAATTCATTTATGCAGATTAGGGGAAAATGATTCATAATAAATTAACTTTAACATTACCTTCTATCTGCTTCTACCTCTATCCTCCCCAATCACCACCAAATCTGTTGCTACAGTGAACAATGATGCAATGTACTGTTGAACAATGATGCAATCTGTAATCTGAATTTCCCACATATTAGTGAGTAGGAGGAAAAATCCACAGTATGAAGGCTATTAAACTAAAACTTTATGCTCTTCCCTCAAGCTATAAGTATTCTTTAGCATTAAATTACATCGTGCATATACAACTACACCCGTTTAGATTTGCCTTGGAATATACTTAATTTCAAAGCCTTAAATATTAAAAATAATTTTATAACTATTTCATAGTTTAACTGGCTCTTAAATAGTTTTGCTGGGGGGTAACATTTTGTGTTCTTTAAGAAATTAATACATGTAAATGTGTTCACTTAAATCTTGAGAAAACCTAAGGATGAAGTCTGTTGTTTTGTTTTTCCTAAAAAAGGAAAAAAGAACAAAAGAAAAATGTTGAAAAAGAATATTTACTGTTAAAAAGAAGAAACATTATCCAGCAAAAAGGAGACATATAGATTTGAAAACACATATTTTACTGTCTTCAATGGCAACAAAAAACAGGCAGGGGAAGTCCAGAGGACTCAGAACTGAAGCAGCTCTATACAATAATGAAGGTGGTACAATGTGACTGTAAAGAAAATGACTAAAACAAAATTTTATAAACATCTTCATGTTTGTAATGTATTAATGCCCAAAATACCAAAATACAAAGTCTGAGTTTCTTTCTCACAGGTTTATGATAAACTATCAACCTTTTATTTAATGCATTTCCTTTTTTTTTTTTTATTATAGAGATGGGGTCTCGCTATGTTGCCCAGACTGGTCTTGAACTCATGAGCTCAAGCAATCCTCCCACCTCAGCCTCCCAAAGTGCTCGGACTGATTACAGGTGTGAGCCACTGCACTTGGCCTTAATGCATTTACTTTTATAAGCCTTCTCTGTTTAGAAGTACACACTATACAAGTACATATATGCTGGTATTTTATCATGAAAATTTTAATTTTCATCTCCAACTAGTGACTTGCTTTTTTACCCATACTCACACACATGTAATACCTTTCTAGTGGTACATTTTAATCAATATATATTTTTTAAATCTCGATTTTTTAACTGAACCTTTTTCGTGCTATGACATGATGGCCTTAATTTAACAGTTGAAGCATGATATGGTAACTACGTTGTACTGTTCAAACTAATTCACAACTGTAGCAAAGTGTTTGATTTTTAGTATATAACCAAGACGAGGCTGGACAGTAATAAACACAGAAACACTAGAAAACAGTGAATGAATAAATATGATTTTTCATCAGTGGCCATTCATTATTTTGCTTTTAGAAACCTGGAAGAAATTGTCTTCTTTGACTTTCAAATGTTCTGGTAAATCTAGTTGTTTCTTAGCTTCTTCAATATCACCTTGAATTGCTGAAATAAGTGACTCTAAAGAATCAAAGTTCTTTTCTGGTCTCAGGTAGCCAACAATGGCGACATTGAGGATTTCCCCATAGAAGTCCTCTTTGAAGGTATGCATGATATGTGTTTCCATAGACTTCTTCGTATTCTTGTAATATGGGTTCCATCCTATGCTCACCACCATCTTATGGACATCTCCACTTCCAACACTGGCCCAACCATAGTAAATGCCAGTGGATATATCAGCTGGAAGATTATCTACTACTTGCTCAGGAAAATTAGCTGTGGGGATGCCCAGCTGCTTGGAGCTGCGGCCGAAGCCCCGCACCACTTGGCCCCGGCAGAAGTACGGCAGATGCCTCATAATGCAGTCCGCTCGGGGCATGGGCTGCGGCCCGGTCTGCGCGTCCTGCGGGGCCGCCGTCGACGCGGTGCCCAGACCCCGGAGCAGTCGGGGGGCAGAAGCGTGAGCTCTGCCTGCCGCGGGGGCGCAGCAGGGGCCGCACTACGCCGACCACACGCCGCGGCGGATCCCTGATGCCGCCGACCCAACAAATGCCCAATCAGTACCTCTTAAAAAGAGGAAAAAATCTTTATGAATTTCATTAACACTTTTAATAAGCAAAGGAGCTATAACAAAATAATGTATACAGAGACATGCCAAATTGTGAAATGGTATAAAAAAGGAGTTCTACCTATGGTCAAACAATATGATTATTTTTAGGCAGGCTATTACAACTGTCTGATAAAGAATGATTACAAAATAGGAGAGTTTTATTACACAGATTATCTGAATTTGAAGCGCAGTCTTAGGAGATTTGGCTATTATTCTCTAGTTGAGAATCCTAAGGAAAACATATCAAATGCATTAAAAAAAGGTTAAAATGTTTTCATAATTTTATATAAAAATTATGAAATAAATAAAAATTGCCAAATAAAGGTAGGACGTTTTGTGATTAGTAGTGTTTAATAATGTAATGAGAAGTTTCAAAATGTATTTATTGAAAATCATATTTAGATTTTTCTGACTCAATTACCTTAAGAAAAAAATACCTAGTAAATCATTTCTCATTTGTATTGTTACCACAGCTAAATTTTAGGAATAGAACCAACCTTCATAGCTTGTTCAAGCTTAACAGATAAACTTGCTACAGCTTTCTGGGCACGTTCATATTCCTCACGTTGGCGTTTCAAAATTGGTGCTTTGGCTTCCACTTCTTTCACTATTTCATCTAGGTACTTATTAATTCTTTTGTTCTCTAGTTTCTCCAAAAGCAACTGATCCTGAGTTTCCACATAAGCATTATAGAGCTGAAAGCAGAAGAAGGGTTGTTTCAAATCTAACCACAATAACACAAATATTTAGTCTATCTAGTTTTATAATAAACATTCTTTAACACTAACACAAAACGGCAATGTTTATTATATGTTAGTTACACAGAACTAGGAACTAAAGAAAGTCTTTCCTAGAATGATCCATTAATTTTAAGATGATTTTAAAAATAAGTTTTGGGAGAATTAAATTTCAAAGAGATTTGTATACCTTTGCTGAAGAAAAATAATTTAACAACATTTAATACCATTCTTACCTCAGTTAGTTTCATCCCAGGTTTCACTATCTTAGCTACAGCTGCTGCAGTAGGAGACATGGCTGCAAGCTCTTCTTCAGACAATATGGCTCCTGTAACAACAAATATACATCTAGTATAAGTTTGTAAAATTCCAAACTAAAAGTCATTAATAATTATTTCAAGATAAGTGACATGTACTGTACATTATATAGTGATTCCTATAAAAATTTTAAATATATGACATCAAAAAGTCATGTAACACATCTAATTCTAAAAATCACACAATAACCTGGGAATTTACAAGACTGTGTGTGATCAAATGGTATTTATATACTTGATTCTATAAAGATACAGAGTATTAATTTTAAAACAAATTCTATTAATATAACTTGATGGAGTTTCCTACATCACAGCATGACAGAGAAATACTATTAGTGAAATTAAATGACTTTTATGTAGGAAAGCTGTAGTATTTCAAGTCACTAACAAGCATCTATTAGGCATACCTTTACGTTTTGTGGCAGAAAGAAGGTCATTTACATTCTCTAATTCCTTCTCCAATTTCCCTATTTTCTCGAGCATTTCTTTTTCCATTTGATCTTTGGATTGCTCCACCTCTAGAAGATGATCTTGTATTGCTTTGTTGGCTAAAAAACAATTTTAAAGACCAAATATTCAAACATACAGTTAAAATTTTAGTTTACAAAATGCAATAGATCAGTCACTTCTCTCCTGAGCAGATAATATTAAATTTCTAGAGAGGCTTCAGCTGACAGTATCTATTGAAAGTTCTTGCTCTACTTATAATTTTGTAATTATCTTGGCCTGGTGTTTCTCCTTTTGATGTCTCTTACCCACAATGAAAATAAGGAAACCCAAAGGGTAAAAAGTGGTTCTAGGCATATCTTTGATTTCGATTTTGATCTTTAATCCTAAGCAAAGAAAATTATTGGAAAAGACCATAAATATCGTACACTGAAAAAAGCAAAAATTTGAGGAAATAAAAGACTTTACAAAATGCAAATGATAACTTAAAGAGGATATCTTATTTATAAACTGAGTATTCAAACATACTTAATCAGAGTAAACGTTTCAAGAAAGAAAACTTTCTGATTCGAAATCAGGAAATTATACAAGATTATTAGATGAAAAACGAACAAAACCCCCTGCTGTCTGTATTTTCAAAAATACATAAACTTACTTTTGCTTAAGATATAATTCCGAATTTCCTAATCCAAAATTCTTTCTTCTGTACCTAATTTCATCCCAAATAAAGTCTAACACCTAAATCCAATAATCTATTCAAAACAAGGGTAAAAAGAAAAAGACTATAATAACAAAAATAATGTTCCCATAATCGAAAACACTTACCTTCACCAGCTTCTTTCAAAAGTTTGTGTAGTTCATCCACTGCCCGGGTTAGTTCATTGCTCTTTGCTTCTGAGTCATCAGCAGCACTCTAAAAGTTAATCTTAAAAAGTTACCTAACAGTCAACAATGCAACATTTAGATACTAACATGTGTGGTGGGATATTTACCTTGTACAAGTTAGAAAGTTTTATGTGTGCATTTAACTCATTGTGGAATTTCTCTTCCATACTGGCCTGTTGTTCCTTGGCCTGAAAAAATATAGCCCAATTATAGCAGTCTACTTTGAACTAAATTTAGAATGCTTATCAAATGACAAGATGAAAAATTCCATTTTTGTAAAGTAAGAGCTAAATCTAAAACACTCAAATTCAAATCGGTCTTCATGACAAAGATAAATTAAGGATAAAATATTACTGATATTTTAAATTCAAATAAAATTATTAAACAAAAAAATTAACCCATACTCATTTTTTAGATAGTATTTTCGATATAACATATAATTGCTATTTCTGATTCTATTTTAGCCTAGCTACAGCATATGGAAGTAGTACTCTCACTATTTTATGGACTCAAGGACAGATTAAAACATGACATCATTTTGTGAAATAACAGCTTCATAAATTCTTTAATATTTTATAAAAAAGACTTTTTAATGGTCATATATACCTCTTTTAATTTGGTCAACAGATCCTCCACATGCTTTTGAAGATGTTCATTTGATGTTTTTAAGCCATTCATTTGTTCTTCCAGTCTAGAAACCTAAAAACAAAACATAGAGCAGGGTGAAAGGACGTCATATTAACTGAAATTACTCTGACATGAGGTTTATGCTGCTAAGGAAAAGCTGAGTAACTCCCCCTCCCCACCTGAAAAAGCAATTAAAATATGCATATTTAAGAAAACTAAGAATAACTGCTCACAGAACAATGTTTAGATTTAGTTCACAAAAACTTATCACCACTTCTTAAACAAACACATATTTTAGGAAAGATACATCATAAGACAGTAGATACTATCCAGATTCAACAAATCTTAAATTTTTTATGCAAATGCAATTGGTTGATTTCCTATGCCAAATGCTAATACATTATTCACATTTAACCACTAATCTTACAACTAATCAGGTACACAATACTGAATACACATTTAATAAACTAACACACAAATGTAAGTTATACTCAACATGAAGAAAAACAATTTTACTAACTTACCTCCTCTTTTTTATTTTCAAGACTACATTTAAGCTCTAGAATCTCATTCCCTTTTTCTCTTCCAAGGGCCAGAAGTTCATCAGTTTTGGTTTTCAACTCTGTATTCAGCCATGTATTCTGACTATGCAGCAATTCCTTTTCTTGCTCTAAGCGTTTTTCTCGATACTAAAGAAATCCAAGAAAATAACATCTACAGTTAAAGACATACGATTATTCAAAAGATTTTGTCTGTAGCTAAGGGACACAAGCAGAATTTTATTTCAAAACAGAAATTATTTGCATAGATTCTTAACTAGAAAACATCAAGAACTGTAACAAACTTAAATTTCAAACAAGCAAAACAGTTGAAATAGAATTGTCCTAATGCTTAATTTTCTGACATTAAAAACAAAACAAAATGCAGCTTTTAATTACTTTATTGCCTGTATTTGAAATTTAATTTAGGTGAGTTTTAATCAAAAGCTACAGTTTATGCATTAGGAATCATCTGTTACTTGCCTTAACAGAAACATCAGAAGCTTGAAGTTCATCCAATTTTAACTGAAGTTCACCCTTTGTTGTATTGCTTTCTTTAAGTTTTTCATTTAGACGTTTAACATCCTCTAGAATGGTGAAAAGAGAATTAAAAAATAATGACTAATTAACACTTAGGGGAACCAAATATCAAAAATATATTTCTAGGAATATAAATCTTTAATACAAAGTATGCACAGCTGGCCCTTGAATAACAGAGTATGGAACTGTGCAGATGCACTTCCATTCATATTTTCTTCAATAAATATATTGGACCTTTTTCCCAAAAACTTACAACAATTTGAAAACCCTAGAGACCACAGACCAATCCAGGCAGCCAGAAATGGAAACCAACTAAGAAAAAGCTACTGTAAGTGCATAAAATATATGTAGATATTAGTGTATTTTATCATTTACTACCATTAAGATATGCACAAATCTATGAAACAAACTTAAAAATTTTATCAAAAGTTATACCAACAGTACACAACCTCATCTGTAATCAACAGAAATATAAACAAATGTAAAGATGCTTTATTAAACCATAACTGCATAAACTGTAATACTGTATTACTGTAATACTTTCATAGCCACCTCCTGATACTACTGCAGTAAGCACAAGTGTTTTGAGTATCAGTATGGAATGCTGTGCGACTAACGTGAGCAGTTTCTCTCTAGTAAATTGCATAATGCAGAAAACAGTAATCTTTTGAAGATTTTGCATATTTGTCATTGTGTTTAGTGCAATACCATAAACCTTGAAACCTTTTGAAGTTTTTGCATATTTGTCATTGTGTTTAGTGCAATACCATAAACCTTGAAATCTTTTGAAATTTTTGCATATTTGTCATCGTGTTTAGTGCAATACCATAAACCTTGAATAACAACATGGTATCCATAAGAAGTGCCACAAGTGATGCTGGAAGTGCTTCTAAGAAGCAGAGAAATGTCATGACAATATTTTAAAGAGTTGAATTGCTTGATATGTACCATAGATTGAGGACTGCAGCTATGGTTACCCACCATTTCAAGACGAATGAATCCAGTATAAAGACCATTTTTTTTTGAAAAAAAAAAAAAAAGGGAGAAAATTCATAAAGCCATCACTGCAGCTACTCCAGCAAGCATAAAAAAGTGCATTTCTGCAAAATACTTTCCTATCTCATATTGAAAATGCAGCTTTTATGGGGTGCAGGATTGCTATCACATACCTACAGACT